AAATACTATGCATATAAAATGCTACTGGTATCATGGTGACATGGATCTTAACTATACAAATGGAGCGTAACACTGAGGACTTTGATTGCGAGTCTTAAGAAGACTGGGGCCTGTTTCTTATAATGGGGAATCAAAAAGACAAGGCGTTGCTAGTGCAGTAGTGTTTAAAAAATGCTGTGGAAAAAGAAATGAAAAAGATTTAGTCACATCATATGAGAAAAACCTATTTAAAACTTACGAACAACATTACTATATGATATCAAAAGAAAAAGAAACATAACAAACAACAGTGAGATAAGCCAAGGACCAGGCTAACAGAATGTACAATAAAGGCTCAAAACATATATGATATACCACAAACAGTGGTTTTTTATTTTTAGGTTTTAAGGTGTAGGTTTTAAGGCTCATTTGAGGGAAAGGGGAAGTGGGGGAAGGGGGGGGGGGTGTAAATGTTGACCCACTGCCTCTTAAGCATATCATAAAGGCGACAAATTAGGGTTTTTTGAAACAGGATGTGTTTTACCCCCCCCCCCCCCCCCTCTCTCTCACAAAATATAAGATTTAAAACATGTGAAATTAAAAAATTTTTCATCCCCAGCAACACCGTCTGAAGAATATTGCACGCATTATATCATTCATAGCACAATAATTTATGTATATTTTACAGACACTGAAGCATCTTGGCAGCAAGTCAACATTGTGAATGTAACAAGTAGTTACAGTGTCATCTCCTCTCCATATTACAATTCCGCATTGGTTTCTTCAAGCTTCAAAAGAGAATGGCTGTTGACAGTGCCCGAAGGAGAACTAATCACGCTGGAGGTAATGTTAACGTGTTAAAGGTGTTGATGTTAACAATGGCTATTGACAGTACCTAAAGGAGAACTAATCAAATTGGAGGTAATGTTAGCGTGTTAAATGTTTTAATGTTAACAATGGCTATTGACAGTACCTAAAGGATACTATTCACATTGGAGCTAGTGTTAATATGTTAAAGGTGTTGATGTTAACAATGTAGTCAGTGTTCTTTAATAGCTTGTTTTCTTATTACTTTGTACATTTATATAATAATACGTTGGTACTATGCAAAAATCACCCAACTTGCAATTTTTGTGATTTTTACCAAAGTGCAACTTTGACAATTTTCACTTAAGCACAGTTAAGGCAATTTTCGGATGGTGGAAAGGCCTCAAGATATAGAGGTTAGCCACGAATATATTGAATAAGTGGTCGTGGACCAAAACAGGTGATGGTCATTGAAAGGAGGCGAGTTAGTTGGTGGTACAGCTAACTCTATAAAATACCTCAAAACTCTACGACATGGTTATCGGCGGGTAAGAGGCGCCATAACCTCTCCCCCCTGCTGCCTTGCAGTGTAAGTCTATTTAGAAAAAAGCTTTTGGAGTCAAACCATATACAAACCGGCGGAAGGCAAGGGGAAACCACCGCTGTATTATCCTTAGTCAATCATGCCTCAGAATATTACGGGACAATCGGTAGGCAGGCCAAACAATTTCTTGAAGCCTCAGAGATGTGGTTTTACAGAAGAATGCTTAGAACACCTTGGACAGCCAAAAAAAAGCAACCAAGAGGTTTTGAAAGAGGCAGGAGCCCGAAGATAACTTATCACAGACATCAGAAGGAGACAGTCATCCTTTTTCGGCCATGTTATGAGAAGAGGGAAAATAGAACGTGTTGTGACCACTGGAAAGATATGTGGATGGAGAGATAGAGGAAGACAACGAGAGAAGATGCTTGACAGTCTTGTTGCATGACATGGAAGTGTGTCGGCACACGAACTGATACATGCTGCAGGAGATCGCAGATTATGGAGAGGCATGATCACTCACGCCAGTCGGCAAGGCACCTGATGATGATGATGATGACTCATAAGTGATTATAATTACAATGTTTCAAAAACTGATCCAGTTCTTTAGCTTATAGCTTTGCTGTCTTTACTCGTTATTTTGGAATTTTTATTCTCACCTTGTGTAAGGACTGAGTGACCACCTTTAGGTATTAAATTCCTAGTAATGAATGTCTGATCTTAAGTCATAATTATTATTATTGCCAATTTGGCCTGACTGGCAACACGTATAGCTCTTACATGTTATCAGGATCTTGAACTGAAGTATTTCGTGTCTGTCTTAATTTGTATATTATAAAAGCAAAACAAAAATATATCTCCTTACTGTATTTACCAATTTTAGTGCATGTAGTGCAAGGGTAGAGGCTGAATATCGGGGATATAGGACTGCATTGATAGTGCAGTCGCCAAGAAACACTCATGTTAAGAATTTTTTTTTTTTTATCTCCCAGAAGAAAAAAATCTCTATCACTTACTAATGATTTAGCCTGGATATCTTGCATGAAAGCCCAGCTTGCTGTTGATTTGTTCCTACACATTTTTATCATTTTAGTGTCAGCTATCTCTAAGATGCTTTTTTTGGAAACAAATTGATGCCACCTAAGAGATAAATTACCATCGTCCTAACGGAAGTCATTTGCAGTCGCTCTCTTTAACATTGTTATACCTTGTGAATATGCATATTATTTGTTTACTTCACTAATTTCTAATTGTCTCATTGATTGTTGTAACAGATACTTGATAACACCCTGGAGTTGAATGGCAGTTCAGACTTTTACATTGTGACCAATGTGGGATTTGTTCTCAAGGAACTGAATTCACATAAAGCTATTTACATCTCCAGCAAAAATAGCATGTCTGTGATTGTCAAAGCAAGGTCCTTTAAGAAAAATTTCCAATTCAATGCCAGAGTCAGGAAAGGTAATGCTACCAAAAGAAACAAACACATAGTACCATACAAGTGTAATTACCTCACAAATTCACTTATTTAGTGGTTTCATCTCATCCTTTTCTCTGTATCTTGCAGGGCTGAGGAAAAGTTTAAATTTCTTATTCTCATTATTCACTGGCTGAAAGAAGTCGTGGAATGACTTGGTTAATCCAGAAGTATATAAACAACCTGAACTTTCCTCCAGAGTTTACTGCTGTTGAACGCGAAGAAGAAATATGAGGGGTGTTATGGTGCCATAAAAAAGGTGGTGGTTGTCAAATACTTATTCTGCTCCCCGTCTTCTTCGAAAAATACAATTAAAATAGTGCTGTAGCATGTTCATTCTTTATTATTATCTGTCCAAGATTTATTGCTGCTTTATGCTGCTTGCCAGTAACTGTTCTTTAAAAATCTTTTCTACACATCATGACTTGAATCAGCGTCAAGCGTTTATGTCTTAATAAATTTATAGCCTTTGTACCAACTTGTGTGGCATGACAGAAATAATGGTTCCATATATATACATACATACACGCATGCATGCACCCATATATATATATATATATATATATATATAAAAAGATCATGCCTACATGTACACTTAAAGTCAGTGATATTGAATTTATGAGGATTATAGAAATTATCAGAACCAGGCACACCGATAATTTATAGCGGAGGTATTTAGGAAGACAAAAACCGGATAAGCAAAAGCTGATTTATAAAATGAACCTCTTTTTTAAATGTCTTTATAACTGATAGCTAGAAATACGAATTCTTGCATAATTCATAAAACAGGTTGTAACATATGTCTGTAAATCATTTTGTTTATTTTTTAAAATTTATATTGCTTTGTTATTTTCAAGGACTAATATTTTGAGTCTGAGGTGGACCTTACAATCTGTCACTCCAACCATTACACTTATCCCTCTTTGGAGCATTGACCCATGCCCTGTCGTTTGCTATCATGTGCAGTTTATCCTACTTCCTCTACACTTATTTGCTGCTGACTTAAAATTATGCATTAGTATATGTAATATATAGGACACAGTCTTGACAGCAACAAGTCAGAAAGAACTACAGGAAATGATAGACATTGCGGTGATAGAAAGTGGAAGAATGGGCCTCAGTTTGAATAATGGGAAGACAGAAGTAATGGTGGTATCAAAGAAACGAATTATTCCTAAATGTGTAATAAAAGTCGATGGTTTTATTTTAGGACAAGTACAGAAATTTAAGTATCTGGGCACATGGATAACATCAGATGGAAGATGCATAACTGAGATAAGAAACAGAATAGGACAGGCAAAAAGTGCATTTTATAAAATGAAGATTATCTTGTGCAAAATATCCTTGTCATTGAGAGTTAAAAAAAGAATTCTTGCTTGCTACATACATTCAGTTTTAACATATGGTTGTGAATCCTGGACAATCAGTAGGCAGGCCAAACAATTTCTTGAAGCCTCAGAGATGTGGTTTTACAGAAGAATGCTTAGAACACATTGGACAGCCAAAAAAAGCAACCAAGGGGTTTTGAAAGAGAGGGGAGCCAGAAGACAACTTATCACAGACATCAGAAGGAGACATTCATCATTTTTCGGCCATGTTATGAAAAGAGGGAAAATAGAACATGTTGTGACCACTGGAAAGATCTGTGGACGGAGGGATAGAGGAAGACAACGAGAGAAGATTCTTGACAGTCTTGTTGCATGGCATGGAGGTGTGTCGGCACACAAACTGATACATGCTGCAGGAGATCGTGGATTATGGAGAGACATGAACACCCACACCAGTCAGCAAGGCACCTGATGATGATGATGATGATGATGATATGTAATAAAAACAGACTGATTAGACATTATTCGACCATGACAATATTAAAGGATTATGAGACTGAAAAGCTAAATACAAGGTTGCAACAGTTAACACGCAAGAGTGTGATATAAAACAGAAAAATCAAATTAATGGGGCTTACTGACATAAGACGCATTAGAAAGTACACAGGAGTTATTTACCAACATACGCAGGTGGAGGAACATTGAAACATTGTGTGGGTTTCCTGGTATATTAGGACATATCTGACTACCTGTTAGACATCAGTTATCACTCAGACAAAACCATTAGATAGGAAATTAAACAAAAAGAACAAACAGAAACATATATACAGTTATATGCACCATGCTATGATAACTTCACAGAAGGACCAAAAACTGTGAATTCTTTAATGATCTGTTTGAAGAGACAGAGACAGTAGAGGTAAACTAGATACTTTTTGGAAAAGTTATCTTAAATAATGTTTCAGAATAGGCTAATGGAACATTATCTTTTTACTATTTTTCAGGTTGTGACCTTATCACAAAATTGTCTCTGGCAACATTTGCAGTGAAGAATATGCCAGCAAACTCCTCATGTTCTTGGAGAGTGCAAAATGAAGTGGGCACAAATTTCAGTTTACAAATAATTGAAATAGCCGATGCAGATTCTAATGATGCTCTTCAGGTCAGATAATAATTACAAATTGTAATAAATCTGCAAAAAACATTCAATTATTTCAAATTCTTGCCTTATCAAAAAAGAAGAGATGTAAGATCTTTGTTCTATATTTTCAAGACTTTTCTCGATCCCTGTATAAGTCTAAGCTCTAATGCTCTTTTATGTCCCTGAGATGTATATATATATTTTTAAAGCTATTTATTTTTTAAATCTGGAATTTCTTATGTTTTTTTTTAACCTTTTCTAATGGATTTTGTTCTAAATAGTTTTCAGTTTTAAACATCAATATTTTATACTGTACCATGCAAAATAAGATTACATCCTTGAAAATATTTTACAACACTTATCTTTTTTTTAATTAAAAAATCTTAAAGAATGTTTTCAGTTGGTCTCTTCACAGTTGAGCTGCTTCTTTTCTAATTCAACATGTTTGAAGCTATCAAATTCGTCTTTTTTGTCCGATTCCATGTTTCAGATAAGCAGTGGTTAGTTGTTTCCTCAACTAAAAGTGTGTGTGTTATCTTATTTTTTGTTTGTAGCTCATGTAATCCTAGATCACATCCTTCCCTGTAATAACATGCGCATGTGTCGTAGAATTCTTTTAGTCATTAGGAAAGAAAATAGGGGAATTGGAACTGAAATGCTATAGACAGATTTTCGCAATACCTTGGACCAAGAAGAAAAGATTTACTAGCATCCTAAAAGATCTTAACATCTTGGAAGATTGTCTAGTCAACAGCATTTTGTCTCGGAAACTGAGATATGTTGGCCAATATATAATCGCAATCTGAACAGGAAAGCATATTAGCTGAAAGCATCGTGTGAGCAAAGAGGAGCAAGAGTCAGTGAGCATGAAGATTTGTACAGGATGTTTAAGTGACATCTTGGATAGGAAAGATAAGCCGTAAGGTAAAAAACATCTAAAAGCCGAGGATTACGGGAACACTGTGGGACACAGTTAGTCTCAGCCAAACATTTAGTGCAAATAAACTGCTGCCAAGGGGCTGCGTGGTTTTGAGGCATGGTGTCCACCTCAAGTGCTAGACGTTCCGGGCTCAATCCTCGGCAAGGGCTGGGATTTTTTCATGTGTACTTGGAGATCTATTAATTCCCCCCTGGTCTCTGGTAGTGAGATCGGACGCCGTGTGCATTGTTTCGCACGAAACAAAAATTCCTTGGCAGTGGGAAATCGAAAAGAGTAGCCTAACGGCTCTCCCCGGGTAAAAATGTGGAGTTAAAAATCTACCCAAAGTATTTCAGAATCGTCGCCGGTGCTACAGAGCCTGTACACTCAGACTTGAGTTAGAAGAAAGAACGGAGCACTTATGGGTTACTACCTGTGTGCCATGATGTTGATTCGTTGTTCAAAACCTCAAACTGCAGCCAGCAGCAGTTTGAAAGTGATCGACCTTTGTCTCTCTCCAAGAATGGGCATGATTGTGGACATAGGGAAGTGTCCGAGGTAGGAGAGCTGGCAAGTGATGACTGAGTTTCTTTCAGGCAGGCTGTGACCTGCTACACGATGATGATGATGATCCTAGATAATATTTTAACATCACATTGAGAATTAGCTGTAAACATCTGGTTTAAGAAGGGACATGTCTATGGTAACACAAGTAATGGACCTTTTTCACACCATTTGGTACTTCTCGAGTGAGTTCAAGGGCTTCATTTGGGGCGGAAAAAAATAAACAGACCCATTGCTCCCTAACAAACATGTCATAAGAGCCCTCTAATGAGAGTTTTGCTGAATTGGATGTGTCTGGCATAAAGGCGCATATATCATAGCCTTGCTGTAAACTAAGACACAACATGCCAATCGCCTTCTTAACAAGCCTGAATACATAAGAAGAACAAGACACAGTTGGCACACCTGGTATATTATGCTGGACCCATATTTGTAACCATAAACTGGCACACTGTCTTTGTCTTTCTCATAGGTAGGTACTTTGTTCTCTTGCAGTTAATAGTGACATTTATTTAAAGTCATGAGGATTTATTCTTTACCAGTTGACAGTGGTATAGTTTATTCTTTTCGGATTTACAGGGGTAGAGTTTTTTTCATTATATATTGGCAGGGGTATTGTTTATTCTTTATATATTGACAGTGGTAACATTTATTCTTTACAGATTTAAAGTGGTATTATTTATATTTTACAGAGTTACAGTGGTTTTTTTATTCTTTATGATTTACAGTGGTATATTTTATTCTTTATGATTCACGGTGCTATTGTTTATTCCCTGCAGAGTTATAGGGGTATTCGTTTATTCTTTATGATTTACAGTGGTTTAGTTTATTCTTTGCAGATTTACAGCACTACTGTTTATTATTTGCAGAGTTACAGAGCTTTTGTATATCCTTTACATATTTACAGTGCTTTTGTTTATTCTTTACAGATTTACAGTGGTACTAACAAAACTTTGAGCGCAATAATTAGCACTTTAAACCACAGCACGACAGGAATGATAGAATACGAATCTAATTTTGATGGTGTTTCATTCATATATTCATCGGACAGTGCTCACCCGAGCATAGAATTTGTAGGCAAAATTTCAGCAGGTAAGAATCCTGCATGTGCAGACTTGGCAAGGCAAATTCACCCTTTGCATACCACATCTTTTTTTTTTTTTGGGAAATTCAAATTTACATTTATTTTAGAAATCAAATTTATCCTTTTATCCTTTTGCAGATTGTTTTTCTAAAACAATATTTGCTTGATCTGTCATAATGATCATAAAATCCAGCTAAGAAAATGTAGATGAATAAAATCAAATAAATGCAGTGGCGCGGTGATTTATGTCACAGGCGTGAGGGGAAGTTAAGTCCAACATGATGTGTATAAGGAGATACTCCGTACGTCACTCGGGCGCCAGTCCTTTACTATCCTGGTTGTACGGAACCTCACGCAAGACCCCTACAGCACGTCCTCGTCGTGCGCCACGGATAATGTCTCAAATGAGCATTAACAGAGCTGTCAGGGGATCTCAGAGTTTGGCGGCCCCCAGAGGTGATGTGTCCTTGTGGCTCTCACCAGCCCGCCCCCAAACGCTTGGGTGAAAAATGTTATCAAAACTCATTAGGAACATGAGTAGGTTCGACAAAAGTACAGCTAAAATCACAACCCTTGGTTAAAAGACTGCTGAGTAAAGAGAACATTGCTCAATGCTCATCCTCGGTTAATTCTCAGTGTCGTCGTCACCGCGCTGAGGTGCAACACAACAGAAACCATACATGGGCTGGCCATCCTTGTGCATCCTCAGTTGGCCCTCAGTGTCGTCGTCACCGAGCTGAGGTGCACCACAACAGCAACCATCCATAGGCTGGCCAGTCACGTACATCCTCGGTTAACTCTCAGTGTCGTCGTCACCGCGCTGTGGTACACCACAACAGCAACCATCCATCGGATGGCTAAGCCTAAATGTCCGACAAAACTAGATCATACGGATCAAAATCTGACCATCAAAATTTGCACTGAAATGCAAAAGGCCGAATGTCCATACCCAAAGACCCCACTCGCGCGAGTGTTGGGACAAAACTGATAACGATATGCCTGATTCAGGAGGTGAAATTCTGCCGGGCTAATGTACCTATCTGTGTGGTCACAAAAGTCCAAAACCAACGGGCTGCTCCCCGCTGACTTCCAGAGGGCGCAGCCCCTGTCGAGCGGGAGGCCTGATACGGTTGTGAGGTTAAGCAGGCATGTGCAGGACGTGACGATTCCTTGGGTGAGCCCAGAACCAGAGCGCCATGTGCCGGCTCTGCATGCATGGAAGCCTCCTTGGATGGCGGGGAATGCCCATGATCTGCCCCTGCCTTCCCTTGAGGGCCAACTGTTCCACAGGGGGTTGCCCCAAAGGGGTACTCCGGGGGCAATACCTGCGGCGAAGGAGACAAGGCGGACACCACACAAATCAGGCAGTCTCGACCCACACAAAACAATGGCCACAGTCACCCTAGAAATAGGCCTGACGTCTTCCTTCGAAGTCGGCGTACAGCTGCCCAAGAGGCAGGGAAATTAAAAACGGTTGTACACGCAAAAATCAGGTCCAGGTGAAGGCCAAAAGTCCAAGCGGACGATTAACCGGGACCTTCCACTGGAATTCACAGCCGGTGTTCGATGAAAAAAAAAAAAAAAAATAAATGCAAATTTAAGCAAAGATGATTTGTGTATTCATTGATTAACAAAATGTATATGAAAAATTTACAGAAATGTGAAATAAACACCTGAAGGAAGACACATACACGCACATCGCTGGAAGCTCCAACTATAACATGAAAAAAAACGAATAATTCCTTGTAGAAGAAAATTACTTAAGAGGCAACTTGGATTGCCTTTTTTGTTTTTGTTTTAACTATAATCAAAATGTGGAAAGGGGTGGGGGTGTGGGGGGGGGGGGAGCGCCTCTAGTACACTTAAAATATATTAAACATGACAATCTATACTGCTCCAGAATGTTACAGTTTGCAAGATCATTTAACCAGTGGTAATTTACAAGCGTACATATCTAATATTGAAGTGGGGGGGGGGGGGGGGGGGGGGGGGGGAAACACTCAGAGTATCATTGTTTAATTTACTAATACTATAAAATCCATCAAAATTTATTACTGAAACATTATATTGCATATATTATGGTGAATTTAAATTGCCATTTTTGTGCAGTGTTCATAATACATGAGAGTAAATATACTGCAAAAACAACTGCATTTAAACAGTAAATTGTGTGATGTGTTAGTAATTTATGCTTTAATTTTGTAATACTGTGAAAATAACATTTAAGCTGCTGTTGACAAACTGATTTGAAACCATACCTTCAGGTTTCTTTGATGGCTTATTAAAATTTGCATCATCTTCTTCTGCATTCTATTCCCATTGGAGCATAGGCCCTCAACTAGTCCTCTCAATCTCTTAAAATCACTCTCTTGCTCCCTTTTTTCATGTGTCTTGTGGTCAGTTCTAGAGTTTTTTTTTTTAAGGAAAAAGGAGGTGCCAAGACGATCCAGACTCCCTTCTGGTTTCTCCGCACTATGTCATCTTTATCCCATTAGAAGAGCCTCCTCTCATCTTAGTTAGCTGGGTTTTTCTGGTTTCTCTTTATGACATTTTCTTGGTTGTTTTATTTTTGTGGTTTTTGTTTTTACAGGATAAGGCAGACAACCCCCCCCCTCCCCCTTTTCTCCAACCCTACCCTCAGTGGCGTTCAATGACTTGTCTGGTAGGGTACAGTAGTGTTATTCTTTGCTTCTTGTGAGAGCCCCGGTAATATTGTCAATGTAAAATTTTTAATTTCACTGATATAAAAATATTATGTAACTGCCTTCATACAGGAAAGTGTGAGGGTAAGTCAATAAATAAGTCACAAATGGTTATGGGATGGCAGCAAAGTGTAGTTTGTGGTTTCTAAAGGTGTCATTGGGTGACAGCAATATCAAACTTTATGTCTCCGTTTGTTTGGTGGCACTAGATGTTGCATGCACATTCGCAACACAGAAACAAAATAGCGACTGTACTTACGAGTGTACTCTTAAAGAATAACGTGTTGCTGTGCATTTATATTTTGGGCAAAAAGGCTGCATGCAAAGGATATTCATTAAAAATTGCTTCTGTTTGTGCTGACAAATGTGCATCCCGTAAAGCAGTCCACTCAAAACGCATCTTGGCGGGAGACATTTCGCGAAATACGCAGAAGTTTGGAATATGTAGTTTAGAAAACAGAGCAGGCAGTTCTACGCACCAGGTTTGGGAGGACTGATAAAACGATGGGACAAGTGCATCATTCTTGTGGACAGTGTATCTGCAAAAATATATGGTTTTCAAATTGTTATCATCTTAAATTTTTTTTTTTATACAAATATTGACTTCCCCTCGTATATTAGCTTCTTTATCTTCATCTATCCTTGATTTGGTGCGATCTTGGTTCCTAACTCATATCAGCTTTTCATCTATCCCATTATCTGAATACTTATTTCAGGAGACCAGTTGTTTTGATGAACACTATGATTATACACTCAACATCACAGTCTTGGAGTACATGCTCAGTGTTTTAGGCACCACTTTTGAGGGATGCAACGTTATTTATCCTACACCAAAAATATGACCCGTTTCTGGCACTACGTTACAGTAACCACAGTGCAATTGGATGATCTATATATAGATACATTGTTATCACTTTACAATTTAGCAAAGGAACACATGTGAACTGCTCCATATAGATCAAAAGTAAGAATTGTTTCATACAGTCACACAATATTTAGAGCCATTTCAAAGTCCAGATTTGAATTTCTTAGAACAAGGATTTAGAGATTACGTAACATAGGTACAGTGTCAAATCTCTTTAAAGTGTAGTGGGCTTTCAGGCTGACCCTTCGTACAGGGGCATCTTTCGTTAAACACCGGGAAAGGCGGATATTGCTTATTTCACTCATTGAATGCTGACTAGTTTAAGAATCTGTAACTTAATTTCTTGAAAATGATCACATATTTTGCTTTTTATTTATTGTTTAAAGAGGAAGATAAAGACAGTTGTGTAAAGAACAAATAATTTGACATGTGTTTGATGTTTCTTCAACAGACTGTCCAGATTTACGAGGTGGTACAATTGTAATTCACAATAAAACAAAAACAGCCGGAGGAGGTTATACAGCCCAGCTTACCTGTCCCACAGGATTCAGATTCAAGCAAGAGGAATACAGCAAAATTACAACATTGTTTGCTGTTTGTAATGAAGGTGGCAAATGGAACTGGAGCTCATCAAGTTATACTCGGACTCCAGAATGTCAGAGTAAGAGATAAATAAATACATTCGTTTTTTTTTGTTTTTTGTTTCATTAATACAGAATTATAAGATTTCTGTATACGGGAAAGGCTAACCCGGTCAACAAATGCCCCAGAAGTCGGATGTGTTGTCCGAAAGATGCAAATATCGCAGCCATGCTGTAAACGGACACAACGCAATTAAATCTTCGGATGAACGCAGAAGAAGAAGAAGAAGATCTCTGTATGTCAGTGACACTCATCCTTTTTTTATTTCCATTGCTCTCTGCCCTTCAGTCTTTAAATTTTTATACCTATCCATAGAAAAAAAAAAAATAAAAAGCAAATCACAATTATTACTTTCACAGGGAAACAAAGATACAACACCTTGTAAATAAGAAATACATTGTCAGATTTCTATAGGACAATATTACTTCTTCTTCTTCTTCTTCTCTTCCACCTTGTACCTCATTGAAGTGTTGGGGGGAGATGTAATGTTTCGTTGATGAGCTCTGCCAAGAGCACTACTGAAACTGATTTTCATTTCTGTATAGCTGTTTTTAATGCCATCACTCCATCTTTTCCGAGGTCTTCCACTCACTCTATACCCGTTGTAACATTTTAGTGTGGCTCGCTGTGGCAGATAGTACCAGGGCATTCTTGTTAGGTGTCCAAACCACTTCATTTGTTGTACTTTGATGACCTGTAAGACTGGCTTTATTCCTAGCATTTGTCTGATTTCATGATTTCGTATTCTGTCTGTCCTTGAAACTCCTGCAGCTCTTCTAAAACATTTCATCTCTGTTGTCACAATTTTACGTTCATTGGAGGCTGTAAGTGTCCACGTTTGGCGTTGATAGCATAGTGTTGGCCAACAAATAGTTCTGATAAGATTCACTTTAGTACTCTAAGGTATATGCTTGTGTGACAATGTTACTAAATGTAAGAATTTTTAATTTAATATGTGTATGCATCCTATACAAATGAGGTTGGCTTAATTGTATCCACTGTTGTCTTGGAAATGAATGAATGAATCAAGAATTGACGTAACAGCACTCAGGACATTCCCACACGTGCTCCGTCGCCTTCTTCAGTAGCCAACGAAGAGTTGACATGCTAATAGTACCAGTTGCAGCCTGATTAAAATTCCGCCTCTATTTCCACTTCCATGTCGAATGTATTCCGGAACCTCTACTCACCCCCGTTTAATTAGTCTTTGGCATACATTCCCTCTGTTCTTTTGCACTGTCCGCTTTGATCCCACAGAACTTTCACCACATCCGCTTTATCATATTGTAGAGGAGCTACAGCAGCGTAAATACCAGTCTGCTTGTTACCTCGCAAATCTGAATATTCTAAACAGAAATCTGATATGCTTTTGATCCGGGTCTTATCAAGTGATGCATGTCACGCTGATCGCAGGTCACCATTCTCAATTTTCCGAAGCATGCTCTGTAAATCTATTATAATCACAACATGTCAGGCTGGGCTGTTCTCAAGCCATCGGAAAGCTGCCGTTACTGCCTCCACCTCCATTCTCATACAGGATGTAGTGAAGTTGTTCGCAAGGCTCTCTGTTTTCAAGCAGTGTTTATTTACCTTTGCAATAAAACCCCACCCACTCTTCTTACCTCTCACTACAGACCCATCTGTGTATATTATGATGTCACCTAGGCATGGATTTTCATTGAACAGTTCCTGCACTTCTGACTCTGTTTCACCCCTATCCATTCTCGGCACCCTCAGTCCAAGGTAATCATCACTCTGTGCAAGTCTGTTTTGCTTGCCAACACTGTAACCCATTCTTTACCACGCGCTATCTTCTGATTGTGACTTCCTGTGCCATCTACGAGCCACCACTTTTCCCTTGCTATCTCCTATGGCCTGATGCAGAAGGTGTTTCCTGTTCATTGTGACTTTAAGGTACATTTTAACCTGTTAAACCTTGTATCTTCCAAATACGGGTAGTAATGCACGCATGTGCTATATGCACACAATCGGCGTGTCTTGTGTACACCCCAAATTGATTCAAATGGATTCATTTTTTTAAAATACGTTTTTTAGATCTAAAATAATGTTAGCAGTTCCAAACCGTTCTACATCATCGAAACATCATCGAAACAGGCAGAATTTTAATCAGGTTGCAACTGGTACTATTACTATGTCAACTCTTCGCTAATTACTGCTGGTAGAGTGTGTAGAGCATTTTCTGTTCCATGTCCGCTAATGACATCATCTTCAAAGCATTGAGTCCTTTCCCCATCTTTGAAACTACATCTTCCGCGTGGTATTTGAACGGCAGACTAGTGTTGAAAGTAATTCCTAGATATTTTAGTAAATTTTCTCTCTATATATATCTACCGTTTATTGGGATGTCTGGCAACGCATCTCTAACGATTATGTTAAAGAAAACCCTCAATACCGAGTGCTGAGATCGCGGGTTCATGCCTCGGTGAAGGTCGGGAATTATTCACGGGGATTTCTAGTACTTTCCCCTGGTCTCTGGGTAGTAAGTTTGGACGAACGTATGTATTGTTTCACACGTTAAAAAAAATCCCATGCGGGTTGAAAAATAAAAATAAAAAGAGTAGCCAAACGGCGCTGTCCGGGCAAAATTTTGAATTAAAAATCTACCGAAAGTATTTCAGGATCTTCACCAGTGCTACGAAGTTTGTGTACTGCTCTGAGATTCTTTGAACTCAGGCTTGAGTTCAGAAGTAGAAGAGGTCACTTCTGCGTTAGCCCTTGTTCCATAATATTGATCCGTTATCTAAACCTAAACCTATACTCTGTGCTGGTTTTACAGACTTTCATACAAGACTCCTGCCACATATTCACTTTGAGTGCCTCAGATAATGGCATATGTCCACATAAACGGAGATGGCAGGGGATCTGAGAGCTGGTGGCCCTGAGAAATGGAGTGTCCAGATAGCCTGTGGCACTTAACAACTCTCCCTAAAGCATGTGTGGTAATATCGATTGTGAACTCATTGTATAAAGAGCCTCATACTAAATGGTCAAGGTTCAGATGCCTTTCAACTGAGAGTCCTACTAAATGGCAACAAAAGGTTAAAAATGGCTACATTATCCTAGAAATATAATCTAATTTTTATTTTAGTACATCTGCTTCATAGACAAGGAAACAACAGACAGCACAGATCTGTAAAATGAATGAACACACGTAGCTCAGGTCCTAAAACTAACCCAAAATCAAGAAATAGACGAACAGCCAGGACTTTCTGCAGGAATTTACAGGAGGTGAATGCAACAGAACAACAATATGTAATGAAACCATCCAACATGATTTCTCTTTCTACCTCTAAACTTCTTTCTTTAATCCTTTCAGTTGTCACGGTATTTCCCAATGCTCTCTCTCTCTCTCTCTCTGTAGGAGACGGCATCTGTTCTAGAAAGACATAGTGAGTGATGCTATGAATCAAGAGCTCAGTTAAACCCGTCCAAAGCCTCCTTAACATGGTTCTCTCTGAATACCCACATCGTCAGTACACCAACACCTGTTGTAAGAATCTGTGGTGTGGACATCCAGAGAACGCACACCATGAAATACCTGGGCATGGCATTTGACAGATGCTTGTCATACAAATCACACGTAGACAACGTCATACTTGGAGCCATGAAAGGCCTGACAGCACTCAAGGTGCTAGCAGCAGCTGATATTGAATGCCTACTTTTCCTTCTCTATCAAGAGCTTGTATTAGGCGTCATTTACTATAGTCTTGGCCTCCTCACTGTCAGCAAAACCCAGCTAGAAAGACTGGACCAGGTAAAAAAAATGAGGACATAAGACTCAAACTCGGCTGCACAAAAGACACCTCCTGTAACGTCATGCGTTATGTCCTGGGTTTGCCGATGATGACTAGCAGATACAAAGTGGCACATGTCAAGGTGTACATGAAGATATCTGCAGACGTTAACCACCCACTGCACAAAGCTATACATGACACAAAAGGAACGCGTCTCAAAAGAGGCCGCTCTTGGATGGCAAAGGCTGAGAATTTAATCCAGCAGGTATGTGATCTAGATGTGATCAGTCACGGAAAGAATGGACGAATACACTAGTAGACATGCATGGCATCACACTCTGAAGGTACTGCAGGGATCAAATTCCTGCGGCCGTAGACACAGAAGTAAGGGAACTGATAGATCAGCATTCAGACCCAGAAGATATCATTATCTACACAGATGAATCTGTGAAGTGCGGATCAGGGTCAGCATGGGCATACACAGCGCAAAGGGGGAAAACAATACAGGAGGACAGCGGCACTTACCAGACAACCACGTCAAGCATGACCATGGAAAAAGCTGCTTCTTTTAGAGCTTTAGCATCGGTATATAAGCAAACTGCCACACAGGCAGTAATTATATCAGACACCATGAAAATGCTTCAGAAGATAGCAACAGGCAGTATGCGCTCTGAGTGGGTAAAAAGCATTCGAAAATCGCACACAACCTCCGTAACCTGGATCTACACACCGTCAATTTTTTTCCAAGCGGTAATTTTTATAGCTTCCATTCTTTGTGTGTTATCTGTAGTTTGCATTTTTTTTTTTTTTTTTTGCAGTTGTTTACTGTGGATTCCCTCCAAAAATACCACATGGATTTGTGAGCAGTATTAATGGAAATGTCACATATGGCAGTGCAAACACTTAATCATACACAAACAAAATTGGTAATTTCAGCCTGTATTTACCACTTTTGTGGTGTAGACAGAAGGGGTCTTTCAACTTGCGGATTTAGGGCCACTTGTCTAGAGCATCATCATTAACTAGGCAAGTTAAGATTCTATGTTTGTCCCCAACAGTAAAAGCCTATACCCTTACCAAGGATTTGAATCTGGGTCTCCCTCCTGCCTGCCGCTGCTCTATGATTGAACACCTGAAGGCTGATTTAAATGTTTTAATGTTGACAGCCAATGCATCTGGAAAAAATTGCAGGAAAATCAGACCTATTTCATGTTAAATGAGGATTGGCATATTCATATACTATCCCCTACTGCTCATAATCTGTGTAAGTCAGATATGCAAAAGAGTTAAGGTAACAACATTATGGAACGGAGAGACAAAGACAAAGAGAGTCAAAAATGACAACCAGGCATTGAATTAGAATAATAAATAGCAGGCTGCTTGACACATAATGTTGAAATTCTAATTTGCTCAAAGAGTGATCTGAAACCTCCACCTGACAATTATAGAAAAAAAAATGATAATTTGTTTTTTTACACTTAAATTATACACGGCTTTACAACTTTTTTGCAATCTTTTCAACAGCTCACAACTGCTCTAAAATAGTAAATGTTACACATGGAAGTATTAACTCCAGTGATACTTCTGAAGGCAGCGTTGTTACGTTTTCCTGTGATCCTGGCTACAGTTTACAAGGGGCAAGGACTATTGCCTGTTTGTCAAACAAAACCTGGTCACATCATCAACCAGAATGCAAAGGTATGTTTTCTGATTAGTCTGTTCTTTTATATGTGATTACATGTTATATATTGATATTATATATTATTTTGGAATATAATAAATATTTAAAAAGTTATTCAACCCAGTTGAATTGGGATGCACCCTAGCATAGCAGCTGTGTAGTGTCTTGGGCGTTGCGAGTCCGACTCGTAATTCCAACATACCGCGTTCGAAACCCACTGCTGGCTGCGTGGATTTTTATCATGGTGTGGGGCGTCGCAGGTAGCCCCAGCCTTACATGGGTACCAGGATGTATGTCCTAGGAAAGTAAAGACGGCCGGCACAATGCTGACCACATTACCCACCTAGTGCCGATTGGTCTGTAAAAATATAGGTGCTCTACTCATATATCTGATGCGCCTAAAGTGTTAAAAGGAATCTTTACTTTTTATTTTACTAATAGCATAGCAGCTGTCTGTGGACCTGAAGGTTGTGGTTTAAAATCCATGTAGAATATGATTTTTTATTTTAAAAATATGACATTGGCTCCCAGACTGACCCACCCCACCAGGCATACATCTAGCACTCTGTAACCCCTAAAGGCGTGGAAAAGGGCCCCTTACTTTTACTTACTGTGTAACCAATGAGCATAAGGTTGGTTGGTGGTTGTACCCCACCAGGACATCACACAAGCGATAAATACCCGGTGACACAAAGTGCCATCATGCGGATGAGGATCACCTGTGGAGAGGTCATAGAAACTCCCCTTTCAGCCGTTAGGCCATATCTATGGCTAGGCCATATTTATGGCCCGGCTATATTCAGGGCCCCCTGCAAAAGCCAGGGTGGGGCTTCAAAATATAAAAAATTTGTATCACACGAGGGGACGACTTATCAATTAGCATAAGGGTGCCTCCTTTTGACCCAGCTGATCAGAAACAGATTAAATTCACATCATACATCATTATACTGCAAATAACTGTTATTTGTTTTTTCTTTCATCTGTAATTGCTCATATTCATGATTTAAATATTAATATTATCATCATTTCACCACAGAAATAAATTTTATTTTCAATTCTCAGTCAACGTCTTTATATCTAGTCTGCAGAAAGGGAACTGGTTGTAATAAATCTTTTGAAGAAGAAACTAGAAAAGCTCATGAACATGTTGAATGTTAAATTAGAAATCAACATCATAGCACTCAGGACACTCCCATAAGCGCTCCATCTCCATCTTCAGCAGCAAAGGAAGAGTTTTATTTGCGACGGCTCCAGTTATTGTCTGATTGTATATCCGTCCCGCCTTTCCCTTGGGTACTGAGCATCGGCCAGATCCATAATGATCTATTTGCGCTTCCACACTATTCACTCGCATCCATAGGGCCCTCACACAGTCAAGCTTGTCAAACATCAATTCACCGCCAAGTGGTGCAGAACCGCCCAGTCTATCTGCCTGCTCATTTCCCAACATAGCGGCATGACCTGCAGAAAATATCCAAAAAATACAAACTGCCCGGGACCTCTGAAGTGATACTTGTCACTCTGCACGGAGTATACCTGTCTAATGAACTCCTAAAGGATGGGAACGCTGCTGACCCAAATGATACCCAGTCAGAAGTTATTAAAGCCAATATAAACTGCCCACAATATTTAGCATTGTTTGGGTGACTATTAGAATAAACTGGAAACAAAGAAACCAGATAAGTTGCAAAAGAAAGCAGTGGAACCACGTTCAAACTGCTGTTAGCCACCCGAAGCTGCCAACAGTCTTGTGTTATTTTTGTGGTATGGTTTATTTGTGTCACTTTCGTGGCTTAAGCTCTGGTATTTGGGCCGTCCCTGGGCTTAGTCCTTTTTCCCTCCAAGTCAGACAGCTTGATCCCTTTCCTGTTGTCAACTGTGTTCTTCCCGCCCTTGCATTTCTAATGTTTTCCTTATTGTTAAAGAAGAATTTTAACTTTTTACCAGATTTACCCCCAAGTGATGCATAGTTAGGCAGTTTGCCTGCATGTTCATTTCCCAACACATCTCAGTGCCTCAAAGACAAATCCAAAAGGCACTAACTACTTGTTATCTCTGAAGTAATGCTTGTCACTCTGCAGGGAGCATCCATATCTTCACTTTTGCTAGCATACTTTGTGGGTCTGTTACCATCACAACATAAACCTCAGTGCAGGTCAACTTTAGATGGCATATGTAGCTCTGATGATGATCTTTTTTATGTGAAGAGCTAGATGTGGTTAAGGCCCTTTAAAATCAAATAAACAGTGTAAGAACACACACAAAAACTATCACAGTCTGCAATGAATGGTGCAGCAAGCAGGGTCCAGGAGATCTGGCTGACACTCAACACTTAAAGGAAATGCAAGGACAATCAGACTGCTGCACGTCCCAATCAATTTGGAACTCTTTTCTGACTGTTGCAATTAGGGACGATGCATCTATGGGAATGCCCGAGGGCTATGATGTCTGTTCATAACTTAACTCAGCTCAACTCATATTCAGTTTGTTGACTTAGACAAGGTCTGTGAGAGCAGTGATAAGGAATCTCAAAATTAATGAATAATTTTGGGATCCCACAGAAAATCGTTCAGATGAGATCATGAAATACATAATTTTTTCTTGGAAGTACACTAACCGAAAACTTTTGAAATAAATGTTGGAATATATAAACTTCCTTTTTCTTTCCTTGTTACCTTATTTTTTCTTGCCAATAATAGAGAGGTAATAGGCATAAAGTTCAAAGGAGCTGAGTCAAACTCTCAGTCATAGTGGGCTGTGATTCCTAAACCTCCATATAACACAATATACTATCGTCTGGAGAGACGGAAAGATGCTAGCAACGACAATAATTATTCTTACTGACTACAGACTGAATTGTGACAAAAGTGCTATCAGAAGTGGAACTCAGGAGATTCTGACAGAGCAGTCTAGTAATCTGGACGACTTCACTGACAATATTGTCATTTTATCTAGCGCCTCAAGCCATATATAAGACGCAATATATACCTGAGCTGAGTGGAGTTGAGAACGGATGTAACAGCACTCAGTACATACTCTTGAGCACTTAATCCTCATCTTTGGCATCAAGCAAAAGTCTCTAATGTTGGCTGATGGTACCAGTAGTAGTTTGGCTGTATGTCCAGCTTGCCTTTTCTCTGGTTATAAGAACACTTCAACAGAGATCACATCATTTAGGTATTTAAGTAAGTACACAAGGAGGAGACAATCAAGAAGATGATAACTCAGTTTTCCTAGATAAAAACTCACTCCCTCCAAGAATCCTACACCTATTTGGAAGGTAGTTTTGATAAAAATGAGGTAGCAGATAGAGATAAAAACATAAAGTAACAAAAAACAATTTAACCTGGAGATTATGTTTTGTTCTAATAAGTTCATCAAAAATGTTTTGAATATAATTCATACAAATTAGTTAGTAAAAACACAATTGTAATAATTACATTCTTTTGTAGTCTACATTTTCACAGAAGAACTTCAGCAGTTTTATATAAAGGTTCTTTATTCTCACGTCTCATCATCATCATCACCATCAATCACCTTGCTGATTGGTGTGGGTGACTGTGCCTCTCCACAACTTGCGATCTCATCAGTTGAAATTGTGCATGTCTTCACAAATAATACTGGGAACAAAAGTGATGTAGTTGCTAGCATGATTGTCAGTCACCCAGGTGGTCACAGGTGTGAATCCGGTTCAAAGAAGATTTTAAAAGTTGATCTGGGCTCTCTGGTCGACCCAGTTTAGAAATGTATACCAGGAAATAGTCAGGGAAGTAAAGGCAGCCAGGATGATATGACAACATTAGATCTGTGAAATGCTGAAAGGTGTGTACACAAAAATTATAAAGTACATTATACCAAACACCCTTCAATGTGTGGAGGCAAGTCTTTTATACTTTTTATTTCTGTTTCAGATGTTGATGAATGTAAAAATGGTGCAAACAAGTGCTCTGCTACTGAAAACTGTGTTAACCTAGATGGATCATATTCCTGCGTTTGCAAAAAAGGCTACTCTGGAGCTAATTGTACAGGTTAGAATTTTTTATTCATTAATAAATAATCAGAACAAGAGCTGGCCTCACAGACTGGTTCCAATAACATAAGGACTAAGGCAAGGTAGTGTTCTTTCACCTTTACACCTTATAACATTCATGGACAATATTCATAAAATAGACAAAACACCACCAGATTCGATAAAGAGGAGGGCTTAAATTAGCTGCACGTTGCCGACGATCAGTGCATATTCCACAATGACAGTAAACAGCTGCAGGACCACATAAACCAACTGTTGGAGCAACACCCATCGTCAAATTTACTGAGAACAAATAGTAAAATGGTTTGGAAGATATAGATTGAAGGAGTCACTGACACCTTCAGACTGAATAACATCACGGTATATCAAGCGACCGAGCGCCCCCTGGCTCGGCTACCGATCGTCTCAATGAGTGACATTATTAGAAAAGCAAAGAGTAATACGTTGCTATTTTGTGTGTGTGTATGTTCATTACTGTCGTGGAGTACACTGTATATTACATTACTGTATTTCAGATGTGAATGAGTGTAATCTTGGTGTGTGCCACCAGAACTGTACAAACCTTCCAGGTTCCTATTCCTGCTCCTGTTATCAAGGCTATGTACTCTATACTAAAAATGGTACCAATGGTTTCTATATACCAGCTGGTGAAGATGGGCTGAAACCTGGCGATGTCTTTCAGATTAATAACACTTGTGTCCGTAAGTGAGCATTATACAGTTTTACTTAAATTGCTCCCATATATTTAAAAAGAGTATATTAATAATTTGCCCCGTATTTAAAGACCTAATTATTTTGGAAAAAGACAGATCTATGTTTTTGAAAGTACTATTGTCGACAGTCTGTTTGCAATTATTAATGCATATTATATCTTTGATTTATAAACTTGTTCCATTTGTGTTTGATTTATTTCAGATAAAAATCTGGTAAACCAAGCATAGATATTCTTGTTTCAAATACAATCTCTTTACATCAGAGTGAAAAAAGTCATTATTGTGTAGAAATGTATGTTTTAGTTATGCTAGGTTTAAAGCAGATTGCTTACTTTGTCAAGAATAATGTTTGCAAGTTTTGTTTTCCCACTGCTATGTTACAAACTTTTGAGAACAAAATCTTGTGACAAATCATTGGACTCATCTGAGTAAAAAATAATGGGCAATGGATAAATCAAACGCAACGAAACTATTTGGGCAGTAACGTGGTCAACAAATGCTAAATGAAACAGGATGTGTTGGCAGCAGGGTGCAAATGTTGCAGCTTTGCTGTAAAAAGTCAATGCAATTATGTCACTCAAATTAATGAAAAGAAGAAAAAGGACAAAAAAAAGAAACAACAACATCATATCAAAGCCACAGTTTCAAAATCATATCTGTTTATTTACAAAGATCTGTACGCAGGTTACGAATTGGGGTGGCTTCAAGAAATAAAAACGTTCTGTCATTGGCTGGCGTGTAAAGGATTTGAAATGCATTGTCCCTGGTTCTGGAAATACTGTAACCAGGGACAACTCATTTCAAATCCTATGGCATATAGAGAATGGTTCACATAGTGGCTCCAGAGAAGGGGATGGCCCAGATGTGTATAGTTCAGTTGGGAGTCCAGCTGCTAGCCTATGGAAAATGTTAACTCATTTACTCTGGAAAAAAAAATATCTTTTGTCTTGTAGGATGCTCTAATAACTGTTAGACATTTCTCTTACTGCTCCACGGTGGGATTATACTCACTTATACCCACTCGATACACTTCAGGTGGCGTAGCTTGGGATAGGAAGGGTTAGTTGGCTAGTATTTGACCTCCCGGATGAAGGTTTTGAAAATCTTGTCTCATACTGTGCTCTCTTACCTGAGTCAAATACAGAAAAGTGTCTGAAATTAGATGCCTACATTGTGGAAACTGCATTTTCAGTCCCGTCGTTGTCCCAGCTGTTCAGCTTTTATAGTGTGACACTGGCGGGACGTCTCACGGCGAGCCAGTCATTAGGGTGGTAATACATCTCAGTGCTGGAACACACGCCCACTGACATCTGCGTCCATGGTTCATGTGTCCATATCCTGGAAACATTTTCACTTATAACATTCTGAGTATACAGAGAGGTAACAGCTGTGTTCACAAGGGAGCTGGATGGTCGTAGACCATGAAGCAGACCAATTAGACGATAAAGAGATAACGTCCAGACAGACCTGCAAACATTTGGTGGTACCAACTGGAGAGAGAAAGACAACCAGAGAGGTGAGTGGAGGCATGTGATATCTGCAGCAATGAACCTCAAGGGCTCTGAACGCTTAAGAAGAAAAAGAGACATTTCTGAGAATGCCACATAAACCATATCTGCACGCAGTCATGGTACCCGATGGCGTAAAACAATATTCCACTGCACGTCTGACAGATAATGATTACAACGATATTAACAACAACGTTAGTTTGCTGACCTAACTAGAATAAAAAATAAAAATAAAAACGCAGAGCTAGAGAAAACACGTCCCCTCAGAAAGAAGTCAGTAGGACACCATTGCTAAATACCTGCATGCAGTTATATTCTATGTTCATTGTCAACTAGTGTTTATTTATTTTTTTTTTATTTTACCATTCCAGTTTAATAAATATTAAATAAAAAAAAAAATTTCTGTGTTAATTGTTAATTTTTATCTAAATATTTTTGACAGCTGTTACATGCAAGCAACTACCGGTACCACCACTAAATGGAACACTCTTGACAACCAGATCAACCTATTATTATAATGATCAGATCAACATCATCTGTAATTTTGGTTATGCATTAGAAAACCCTTCAGTGGCTACATGTCAGAGTAATGGGAACTGGAGTTACAATACTAATCCCAAATGTAAAAGTAAGTATTTAAACTGTGCAGTATATATTTTCTCTAAAGGAACAGACTACAAAATTTTTATCTGAAATGGACTCTACAAGTATTTATTTAAAACGGACACATAGTTACAAGATAAAAGTAAGTACAGTAAGAAAAGGACCTTGGTCCATGCCCTCAGACGTATTGGGCATATAGGGCCAGATCTATATTTTATCAACCAATAAGCACTTGGTCAGGATCATGCCGGCAGCACATACTTCCCGGGGCTTGTACCTGGTACCCACTCATGGCTCATTCAACATGGGAGCCAAGATCATTTTCGAAAAAGTCAGGCTTTGACAAGACCCGAACCCACTACCTTCCGATCTGCAGCGAGCGTCTAGTTGCTGCACAACTGCGACTCCCTTCTGTAAAGTAGTCAAATTTCAATGTCATCATACACAGCAAGTTTTAATTTTTTGAACTATTGTTATTAGGATATCTCATGAGTAATTCAACCAGTTTTTCTACTGGATCATACTACACGGCTTAGTACAAAGGAAGAAGAGACCTGAATCCAGTCACTATAATCGGCAAGGCCTGAGCTGTCGATAGTCGCTTAGTAATCCAAAGACATATTCTTTTTGGGTATCGATTCTATTGCTGGAAGCCAAAGACACAAACTTATAGGACTATATGTTGCTGGAAGCCAAAGACACAAACTTATAGGACTATATGTTGCTGGAAGGCAAAGACATAAACTTATAGGACTATATGTTGATGGAAGCCAAAGACACTCACTTATAGGACTATATGTTGCTGGAAGCCAAAGACACAAACTTATAGGACTATATGTTGCTGGAAGCCAAAGACACAAACTTATAGGACTATATGTTGCTGGAAGCCAAAGACACAAACTTATAGGACTATATGTTGCTGGAAGGCAAAGACATAAACTTATAGGACTATATGTTGATGGAAGCCAAAGACACTCACTTATAGGACTATATGTTGCTGGAAGCCAAAGACACAAACTTATAGGACTATATGTTGCTGGAAGCCAAAGACACAAACTTATAGGACTATATGTTGCTGGAAGGCAGAGATATAAACTTATAGGACTATATGTTGATGGAAGCCAAAGACACAAACTTATAGGACTATATGGTGCTGGAAGCCAAAGACACAAACTTATAGGACTATATGTTGCTGGAAGCCAAAGACACAAACTTATAGGACTATATGTTGCTTGAAGCCAAAGACACAAACTTATAGGACTATATGTTGATGGAAGCCAAAGACACAAACCTGTGGGATTATAAATTTTGTTGCTGGAAACCAAAGACACAAACTTATGGGACGACAGGTTCTGTTGCTGAAGGCCAAAAACACAAACATATCGAATTATAGATTTTGTTGCTGAAAACCAAAGACACAAACCTATGGGACTACAGAATCCGTTGTTGAAAGCCAAGAACACAAACATATAGAACTATAGATTTTGTTGCTGAAAACCAAAGACACAAACTTATAGGACTACAAATTCTGTTGCTGAAGGCCAAAAACACAAACATATGGCACTATAGATTTTACTGTTGCAGCAGGCATTCTACTTCAAAAAAAATAAAAATATTTGCCAATCCTTTACAGGACATTGCTGAACCAACCTTAACAGTTTTGTTGTTGTTGTTGTTGACTGTGCAATTTTATGTTCAGTAGTTTGTCATTGCTTTTTTGAGTGGTCACTTCTCAATACCATTGTCAAAATCAGCACCAAGCAGTCGGCTGCCCAATTCCCCAAAACTGAAATCAGACTGAGCATCTCAGAATTATAAAGTGCGTTAGCAATGTCTAAGGCTCAGATGCTGTCACTCTATTTCAAACAAGCAATTTATTACTGAATATGCAATCACATTTATTATACATACATAACTGTCTATGTTATTTACCTAAGTTATTTGCATAATTTCTTTCATGCCATTAGAAATGACCTGCCCTCAACCTCCAGTACTAAAGCATGAAGCTTCCAGGTTTCCATCTAAGGGAGATATAGAGCCGGGAGCGTCTCTAACAGTCACATGTAACTCAAATAATAGAAGTGGGAATATCACTAGAAAGACAGTATTCTGTGCACCAAGTCCTCATGTTTCTGGACAGTTTTCCCTTCAAGGAAATGACCTAAAATGTCCAGGTATTGTAGGTTTAAAATATTGATGCAGAATAATTTGGTTATCACTAATTCAACAAAACATAATTAAAAAAAAAAATCAAATTGAAATGAGTTTTATGTATTTTGAACCTCTTTTTTCCCACATTACCAATTCAATACTTTCAGTAGTCTTGAAAAAAAAAAAAAAAAATAGTTTACACTACTTTTTTTTTTTTTCATTTTTTTTTTACCTCTCAGCTTAAAAAAAATAGTAATTTAAACATCAGTTCAACCTATCTAGGTTATAATGTGATATATGCGTTTTTCATTTCTTTTTTTTTTTTGCTTTTGGATATGTAAAAAAGTCAACTACATTTTGTTATTTAGTGGTGCATAGACTGTGCATTATTGAAAAATATTGCAGGAATTTATTAAATATATTCTAAGTGTACTTTAAAATAATTTTGATAATGATATTTTATAATCTATATTTCGAAAATTCAAAGGGATCTTGGATACGACTAATCTCTGCCTTAGGAAATATTACCACCTCATATGCAAACCTTTGTTTTTGTGGTATGCTGTTTAATCTGTCCCTGTAGTTCTTTAGAGCAGTCCATCCCCAGCAGGTTTGATATTGTCTGAAGTTTATTGCATCGGGTCACATAATCACAAGAGTATTTTGGAGTTCCAAAATCAATTCTAGAATTACATACAAAGACAGCAAGTAAAATGGTTTGCCCACTTAGAGAGAATGCCTTGTGACACCATACCATACAAAACATACATGGAAAGAGAAGAAGGACGGAGAGCAAGAAGTAGACCAAGAACAAGATGGAAGGATAACATCAGAGAAACTCTACAACAGCACGATGTGCTATGGTTGAGGCAGCCAGAAGAGCTAGAAACAACCTTATATCTCCCTCGACACCCACAGCGGTAAAAGAGGAAGTGAAGAAGGAGAAGAAGAAGATTTTGGAGTTCATATTTTTTGCAATATAAAAAAATAATGTTCCTATCTCCTTCTAAGAGGGGTGGGGGGGGGGGTCTCCATGGCGACGTGGTCAAGCTGTTTGCTTGCGCTTTAAAAGTCGCGGAATTGTTCCCCAGCTGTGCTGCTCAGTTCACAGGTGAAATTTTTACAGATATACCGGGGATCGTCACCAGAGATACAGAGTTTGTTCTTTGAGCGATACTCTTGGCAGTTCCTAGCCATTCTGCAGACAAAGACCTAGCCATATGGGATCAAATCAAGTGCAATGAAGTCGACCCTCCAAACTTTAACCTTTAGGCTTATTTATGGTCCTATGGCAATTTGCTATTAAAGTTAGTACCGGGAAATTCTTTTCATAGAGCCAAGGTACCAGTGTAATATTGACCACATCACCAATACCATGCTAGTTGATTTATAAACATGGTGCCAGCATCAAATATCTCATTTGGATGGACAAGGGTCCTATAAATATTTTAATGCGCTCTGTTCCAAGGACCTCATCATGTGTTTCTGGTTCCCCCATACCTCATGTAATCTTGTCGACTCCTGATGTCTTTATCCAATTAGTACATAATTCTTCGTATTATTAACTTATTATACTCACTATTGTTATTTAAATTCCTTTGGATACAGCTGTTATATACATTTGATTAGTTTAATTCAAGTTGCTTTTTAGTAATAATAACAATATCATAAAACGGTTCTCATTACAATGATTTGTTTTCAAACCTCTTGTTCAACAGAGGTGGACTGTGGAAAACCAGAAGGCATTCATGGTGGAAAAACAGTTCTTGTTACAGATACAACATATGGCAGTTCCTTCAAGTTTACATGTGACAGCAGCCGAGGATTTACTCTGACTGGGAAATCAACTCTAGGCAACTCTTCTGTTGTGTGTCAGAGTAATGGCCACTGGGGATTTGCTAGCCTTACATGTGAAGGTAACACTTTGATATTCACAGCTGTATGATCTAAGAAAGATTAAAATTTTACAGGATGAAGAAAATTCAATGCAATCCATCTTTGTCAGCTTAGGCAAGAAAGAGAGCTCTTAATAGGAAAAAAAAAAGAGCCAGTACTTATGTATGGAAGTAAAACACGGACAGTGGACAGTCAACTGAAAAATTGAAAATTGTGTGGAAGCTGTAGAGATGTGGTTTTTTTAAATCACTTATCTCTTGCATTCTTGACTTTTATTTATAAAAATATCTTCTTCTTCTTCACTTCCTCTTTTACCGCTGTGGGTGTCGAGGGAGATATAAGGTTCTGTTTCTAGCTCTTCTGGCTGCCTCGACCATAGGCACATCGTGCTGTTGTAGAGTTTCTCTGATGTTATCCTTCCATCTTGTTCTTGGTCTACCCCGTGCTCTACGTCCTTCTTCTCTTTTCATGTATGCTTTGTATGGTATGGTGTCACAAGGCATTCTCTCTAAGTGGGCAAACCATTTCACTTGCTGTCTTTGTATGTAATCCAGAATTGGTTCTGTTCCGACTTGTTCTCTTATGATCTCATTCCTGATCTTATCTCTTATGGTTACTCCTACAGCCCTTCTCAGACATCTCATTTCTGTGGTTACTAACTTTTTTATAAAAAATATAATTGCATTTAATGTAGCCACAATATTTTAGTAGCCTTTTTTCAACAATGTTTTTTTTTTTTTTCATTCCTCATCTTCCCCACACCCCTGTATTGAATTGTTACTTGAATGTTACCCTTGAATGAATATAAAACTAAAAGGCTATCCTCCGAATAACGGCCCAATATTATGGCAGCCAAAATGAACACCTGGACAGGGCCTCAGTAAAATGAAAATTGCGGACCTCTTTCCGGCGACTATACCGCATAACGCTGAGAAGCTTCCGCTGAGTTAAAGTCACCGCCGAGAGTATCCCAAGCGCATCGCGGCACGGAGGGTGCTAAACTAGATAGCTGGGACTTACGAGCAGCAGCTACTGCATCTCCTGCAGCTTCCTCATTTTATTTGCTCATGAGACCCAGCCATCTAGACTCAGGCTCTGTCAGGGTATTTGTTTTTTTTGCTACCATAATATGGGGCATAATTCGGAGGATAGCCAACTTATATTTAGACATTAAGTGTATTTAACTTAATATGACACCATAAAAAAAAAGCATTTACATTTAAATAATTTAAAAGGTAACATACAATTATCATGTCTTTTACATTCTGTTTTATGCAGGCTCCAAGTGTAAAGACCCTGGCACAAGGGCTGGAACAGTTCAGATTGTGAGAACAAGCTATGCAGTAGATCAGCTAGTTCAGTACAACTGTACAAGGCCAGGTTTTACAATTATCACAAATAACACTTTGGTGTGTGAATACAAGAATGGTACTGTAGAATGGAGTGGTGATCCTCCAACGTGTGAAGGTAATGAGTTGTTAATATGGTTTAAGTGTTTACACATACACATTGTACTCAGCTTGTAAAAGTAGTGTAGAAATTATTACGAATAGATAAGCAAATATATACATACCAAAAAAAAATTATGGTTGTGTATCTAATTCTCAAACACACATGCATGTCAATATTCTTTGCTTACATCATTGCAAAATTAGTTTCTTAAAAGGGTAAAATTGTTTCCGTATTGCAATTACTGGTGAAATCTATTAGTTCTTAATAATGCTTGTTTGATCCATTTCTATAGTTTGCCATTATGACATTATAGTTCAATCATTATAACTTAAAATACAAAAAAATGTCAACACAGTTAAATTACTTTAAAAGGTTATGTTGTTTTTTTAGTGTTCAAATGGTTGTTTGATATGTGCATAAACAGTGTAGGCTATAGGTGAAATCTGTTATCTACGAATTGACTATTTCTTTTTTTTAGTTTTTAACAATTTAGAAAGGCAGTATTAAATAAATAATACATGTGTGTGATGTACCAAATATGAAACACTTAACAATATTTTTTGATGATTTATCTGTCCTGTTAATTTAAAATTATTCTTCAAAGTATGATAACTGTTTCACTAATTTTTGAAAAAGCTTTTTTGTTATATATTACACACTGAAATAATAATAATAATATAATATAAGTATAAATTGTAATATTTAAACAGGAAACATTCATTATGTATGTATAAAGAAACTTTGGGATCTATAAAGTAAAAAGTAAAAAAGTAAAGATCCCTCTTTAGCCTATAGACTTATCGGGTGTATGGGAAGAGCTCCCATATTTTTACAGACTATCAGCACAAGGTGGGTACTATGGTCAGCATTAGGCCAGCCGCCTTTACTTTCCCAGGACATACATCCTGGTACCCACATTAGGCTGGGTTGACCTGCGACGACCCATACCATGATCAAAATCCACGCAGCCAGAAGTAGGTTTCGATTGCGGTATGTTGGAATTACGAGTTGGACTCTCAACGCCTAAGCCACTCACGCCGTATGGGATCTATAGTACACTATATATTTCCAAGGAAACCACTAGTTAGATTTGCCACCTAACTGAAGTAATATGGTATAAATGTATGACTATGACGAGAGTTGATATATTCTACATCAATTACTGGCCATTAAGAGCCACAGTAGCACCTGGCCTAGTGGCTAGAATGCTAGGTTTTCATATGGGATACATCTTCACTGGCTGTAAACTCCAACATAAAGTTCTGACTGTTCCTCCACTTAAAGACTGTGGCAGTGTTCCAGAACTTGCGTTTTGCAGGCACATCTATTTTACAGATCTGGCTTATTTGTATGCAGACTGTTGGTTTCTCATCTCTCTGACAGATATACTCCGACTTTGAATGGAAACAATTCTTATTAGCTGCACCAGGCTTGCTAGGATAGCAGTGATTCTTTACTTCTTTACCCCCTCTCCCCCCCCTCTCCACTACCACCCCATAAAAAAAATGGGATACAGGAATCCATACAGGGACTGTAAGAGACATGTGACCTGCACAATTAATGTCAGTTGCACAAGCCTTGTGGCTTAAAATCTTCAGGCTTAAGACAGTCTTAAGTCCTATATTTCCTGAAAGTAGTAAAAATAAACAGTGAAGAGGCCCTACTGATATAGTGGCTAGTGGGCTTGCCTACCAAGCATCAGGATTTGATCTAACAATTACAGCTCTCTGGTTGATCCAGCTTCATAACAATGAGTACCAGAGAATTTCTGCATTCAGTCCTTACCCACACATGACCGCAGGTTAGACCTGGCTGGTGTAGCCATTACACCTGCCCTTATAACTTCCTTGGAGGTTGAACTGGGTTCTGCCTTGTTGGTCTGAAGTCCAGATTGAAATTTTGCTTCAAATCTCAGGATGGTTTTGTAAACTTCTAGGTAGCTGCCCGGAGGGGACAACTGAAGGATCAATCAATTTCCAGAATTTTTGTGTCATTCTATGGAAGGAACGGTGATGAGGAATGTAACTGGTCCCCCTTACCTCATTTATCACGGCCTAAAACATGTAAAGGCCTACCAATTCATACTCTCAAAGCAATATTTTATATAGGATTACTTTACCTTCATTGTACGTTACTTATATAATCATATGATAATTCTAGACAATTATCACTCTTAATTACGTGTAAACGTATACTTTTAAAAACAGATACGCAGCCACCTAAAATCACATGCCACACAGTGAACCCATTGGATCTATACAGCACCTTAGTGTACCCAGACCCGACTGTGTTGGACAATTCAGGCTTCTCCTGTTTGATACTTGAGTCAGGACCTGAATCAGGAGTCTCCCTGGTGACCAATAACATAACAGTGAGATACAAGGCAACTGACTCTCGCAATGCTGCTGCTTGTGAATTCACTGTTACAGTAAAAGGTATTTTTGTTAATCATTACTTGAAAAGTTATTATTGTTGATCATTATTTTAAAATGTATTTATATTGATCATTACTTTAAAAAGTATTTCATGTTAACCACTACTTAAAAAAATAATTATGTTGACAATTACTTTAAAAATGTATTTCACGTTGATCTACTTTAAAAGGTAATTATGTTAATCATTACTTCAAAATTATTTATGTTAATCATTACTTTAAAAGTTATTTATGTTGCTCATTACTTTAAAAGGTATTTCACGTTAATACTTACTTTACAAGGTGTTTCAAGTGGAATTTTACTTAACAAAATAAAGGTAATTGTGAAAGAGTCGTTCTTCCTCATAATCTTAAGGAGTGATAGTCTGGGGATAAACATAGCATACGGTGGCTCGACTCCTTACCTCCTGTGACAGGTAAACCATCAAGACATTTGCTTATGACCAACATGGAGTTTCTTATATGTTTAATTGGATATACATAGAAGCAGACTAGAAACCTGAGGGAGTCATTGCTCTCTTACCCCGCCACAACCGTCTTGAGGGTGCTTTATAATCGCTACCCATGCCAGGGACCTTTGGTTGCCTCCAACATTACCGGGCCCACAAGGCCACCCTTTTACGTTCTGTTTGAACCTCTAAATGCCAATCTCTGTTGGCGACTACCAAGGGCAGTCAAGATGCACAGTGTCACTGGGTTTCCTAATAGTTACACTTTGCCTGTGATAACTTCTATTTATCACTAATCATCCTGACCATGGGACTGGTAGGCCGCAAAGTTACAATAAGATACTTACCAGGCAACATGACCCAGGTACGTTATTCACACTAACATCACAATGAAAAAGGGCTTTCTTAAATCACCTAACATTATATAATACATTCTATTATTGATATTGATGTTATTGATATGAGCTGCGTTAGCGCAGTCGATGCGAGGCTCACTTTTAAATCCAGCTGCCACTCACTGCAGCCACGGTCGGCGTTCGAAACCGGCAGCTCCGGGGGTTCACCCTGCCCTTAGGTAATGGGCACCAGAGTTAACACTCTGGGATAAATGGAGGAAAGTCGCTGTAGCTACAGAGTTACGTGCGAACGGTGACACAGGCGTACAGTTTCTTATCAGCTGTCCGTAGTGGTGGCAGAGCACTTTTGGTTTATAACTGTGTGCAGTGATGCTGGTTTACATCTCCAAACTTTACCTTCACCAACTATTTACTAGGCAACTGTACGAACTACCAAGACAAATGCTATAAAGCTAACAGTCCCTATGAATTTTGCTGTATTACTCGTTAACTATCGTTACTAAGTGTATGATGCTAGTGAAATGCTGGAAAGCTATGAAACAGAGTCGGCGGTGCAAGGGCTGATCAATGAAAGGTGACATCATAATATATACAGATGGGTCTGTGGTGAGAAGTAAGAAGAGTGGGTGGGATTTTATTGTATACGTAAACTGACACTGCTTGAAAACTGAGAGCCTCGCGAACGTCATTACATCCGGTATGAGAATGGAGGCAGAGGCAGTAACAGCAGCGTTCTGATGGCTAAGAATAGCACAGCCCGACATGTGATTGTAACAGACTCACAGAGCATGCTTTGGAAAATTAAAACTGGTGTGCTGCGATCAGAGTGGCTTGCATCACTTGATAAGACCCGGATCAAGAACATATCCTGGATTTTCTGCCCAAGACATTGTGGTGTGTAAGGACAAGACGTTTCATTAACCAACACAGAACAGGCATCATCAGTCTTTTTACACTTGTGGAGCTTTTGAACCATATTGCAGATTAATCTATAAAATATATGTCGAGCGCTATATGCTCAGTATGCGGAGAGAAAGTCCATCAAGATAAAGTGTCCACTAGGAATTCAAAAAGATCTTGAAGGTCGCAGAAATGTGTTGCTCAATTTAACTGAAGCTCTACTGGTGTCCCACTCTGGGGATGGTGTAATCACATTTAACCCCAAAGGTCCCTTGAATCTAACAATAGAAACTGTGATTCCTGTCAGAGCAAGCATTGTCAAAGACAATGGTCTTTTAAAGGAGTGTGCTTTCTTGGTCAGTGCAGTGTGTAAGTATTTTGTTTTCCATTAACAGTATTTTATAGCTATTTCAGTTTATTTTTCCCGTTGATCACAGCTTATGTTTAGAAGATCATGCATATTACATAACACACTTTGTAACCCTAAAATTGGTACTAGATATTTTTTCTTGAAAATGAAAAGCATGTGATGTAATATTAAACCTGTCATCTATTGCTCTTGTGTGAATGGAAATTGTTATGCTTTTTTGTGTGTGTGACTGAACATTGTTGTGCTCAATTGTTAATGAAAATTGTTATACCCTTGTGATACAAAAAATGATTTTCCTTTTTGCATGATTGAAAACCATTCCCTATTGTGACTGAAAATTTCTGCACTTTTTTGTGATCGAAAACTGGTAAGGTAAAGGCAGTCCCATAGTGATTACTGGAGATAGGACCCAAGATTGTGGGTAGTTAGTTCCCTTTCTCCCACCTTTTCTTCCCAGAAAGTTCTAGAAATCATCTTATATTCATTATTATAAGGCAGGGTCCACCTCAGGGGTGCACTGGTTGGAAACACAATCATGGCAGCTCTGACTGAACCTTAGCTGCTGTGTTACTTGTACTATTTATTTTGTAAGTAAAATATCATTCTGCCATCTCCCTGATGGAAATTTGCTGTAATGTATCCACCGGCAACCAGGGAAATGTTATTTTGTGATTCCCAAATCTCTTCTGCAGTGTGATTCTCGTAGCACTGTCTGAAAGCTGCCTGAAAGGGCTCTTTTGAGACAGCCTACTGCAGGAATTAAACCCTGGTAAATATTGAGTATTACATTGTGAAACAATATCACTAACCTCTAAGCCACAGAGCCTTTAAGTACATATATGTAACAGTGCTTCTCTAACGTTTACTTTGTACTGTTTTATATCTGTTGGGAGTGACAAAGTCATTATGGCTATGCCAGGAATGCACTAAATTTAGTTATCTGAGCATTAAAAAAAAAAAAAAGATTAGGCTGCAGGATGTTTGATAACATGGTTAGCAGACAGTTTAATATGGAACAGACTACTTAAAATACTAAAGAACTTTAAAGGAGAAAAGACCATTATACACATTTTTTTGAAGTACTAAAGACTAAATTTTTAAGCTATAAAAATTCTTACTCTGTGAGAAGCAGTTTTTGTCCCTGAGTTTTTAATGTTTTCTTCACCACTTTCTGCACCTATTAAAAAAGGACATTAATCTACTCTGTTACAGTTACTGGATCAACACAGTGTCACCTAACACTTTTTATATTAACCTCTTCTGTCCTGATTGATTTGCACCTTTCTGTCTTTCTAGACGATGGTGTTATATTGTGTTATGAGGGGACATGGGACTCAGTGTCCAAAGTGATGATGAATGTGACTAGCAAGACCGGCCCATGTTAAGAAAGGTCTTCCACAATTATAGGATGGGACTTCAGGACCGTTGTTGCCAACGTTAATGTTTAGTCTGTTTCTTCTCAAACACTCAGCCTTTCGGCAATCATTTCTTCCTTTATTCTCATTCCCTCCTGAGATGCTCTTTCCTTGCAACTCGGTCCATGTTATTTTGTTTCCATGAGTCAGTCTCAATACCTATATCATTCATGTCCCGCTTGCACACATATTTATATGATAGCTGAGGTTGACCTCGTCATTGACTACCCGTCTTTAGTTCACTATAGAGGATATCCTTAGGGGCCCAGCCAAGTAAGCCTTCGTAGACTGGGCATTGAGAAAACTGTTGTGATACCTGCTGTTTTCAATACCTCAGTGTTTGTGACCTTGTCCTGCCACTTAATGCCATGCTAAGTATTCTTCTTAAGCATAGCATATGAAAGCTGATTAGAAATTTCTCCGGATGTGAATATGTTGACCAAGTTTCACTGCCATAAAGCAGAGTGCCGAGAACACAAGCCTGAAAGACAAGAGTTTTTTTTTTAATCTCGAGCTTTCTGTTCTCCCAAAAAATGTTTGTTAATCTGTTCATTGTTGTTGCTACCTTACCTATCCTGATGTTGATTTCTTGGTCCAGAGATAGTTTATTATTCACTGTTGATCCCAGACAGGTAAAACGGTCAGCTGTCTCCAGCTCTTCACCATCAATGTAGACTGCAGATCTATCATTAACACCTTGCACCATAACCTTTATCTTCTTTTCTGATTGTTAGTCCAAATTTACAGCATGCATCAGCAAGTGCAGATAATAAAAATCTGAGGTGCTTTTCTGAATGGTTGGTACAACAGCTCTCTGATAAGTACCTTTCTTATTCTGGTTTTGGCCTTCAGTCTATGCGCATTGTAAAGGCTGACGTCAAATCGAGAGTGGATGAATATGCCACCGTCCTGATCTCAACAGTCATGTTGCAAAAGAAGTGAGAAGCAAGTTCCAAAGGGGTTAGGAGCAACTACACACCTTTCTTCATTTCACTAGTAATTACAAACTCCCTCTATGGTACACCATTAACGTTTATTGTATCTTTCATACCTGTATGGAACGACTCAGTAATGCTCGGTAGGGTAGCTGGACACCCACTCTTCTTGTGCGTGTTGAACAGACATTTTCAACTTGCCAAATCAAATGCCTTGGTAAGACAAATAAAAGCAATTAATTTTGTTGACCACATTTTTCCAGCGACTGTCAACATGAAAATTTCATATTAGTGGTAGACCAGTTCCAACAAAAGCCACATTGTGACTCTGGGTAAACCTGGTCTCCTAGGATCTGGAATCTTCACAGAACAATTCTGTCAAGTACTTTTCCAACAGTACACAGCAGTGATATTCCACTGGAGTAATTGCAGTCACTGTGATCTTCCTTGTTCTTGTACATAATTATGATGCTTTAGTCTTTGAAGTCTTGCGGAATCTGCCCCTCACACAGCAGAGTATTTTTAGCTGATGAATGTGTGAGGGTGGAATCTCTTTCCCACTCCTGATGATCTCGATAGGGATTTCATCTCTGCTTGGGACCATTCCCAAAGCAAGTTCATCAATAGCATTTGTGACTTCAACAATTATTAATACTGTTTTCGTATATGCCCCGCCTTGATTTTCTGTAGTATGCTCATTGAGTCGCTGAGAAAGCATGCATTGGTGAATTCCTGAGTTTTCAGCCGTTCTAGGGCCTTAGTCACAGCCATGACCTCCATTGTCATGCCGCTTGTGGTAGATGCAAAAGTTCCACTTTCTTCTACGATGACTTTTCCTTCAATTCTTGCCCTTAAATCTTACACACTTCACCTCTGACGAACCATAGAACCACCTGTATGTATAACAGCCTTTTCCCGTGATGTGTGTTCATCCATCAATGCTTTTAATTCTGCATCAACTATTGGTGGCGCCACTGTCTTATCAGGGTGACAACCACCACAAAGTACTGCTTGTATTTTTGTTTGGTATGGATATCCATTCCTCTGCACCGTTTATGTCTTGAATAGAAATCACCCGTTGAAGTACTTTCTCTGCCAGGCACAACCAAGACTGGCCTCGTTTGAGGCTGTTGCCTTTACGTGAAGTCAGTTCAATGTGCAGTGGATGTGTAAAAACCTCAGTGATTCTGAGGTAGACACACCGTTGTTGTATTTCAAGCCTGCTGTTTATATCTGGAAGATATAGTAAGTATCTCATTGCTCTACATGATGTGTCTTTGGTGCAGCCAAGTATAATGTGCATTGCTTCATTTTGTACCTTTTCCAGTCTGGTGATTTGTGTCTTGCTGAGGGTGAGGATTGCCAGTGCACATTCTGTGGTAGAGAGGATCAAACCCTGGTAGAGAATGACTAACAG